TTTAAAAGGAAACGTAGCGGACCTAATTATAGCAGATAGATCAAACGGCTCGGCATCAGTCGGGGAAACAACAAGTGAAAGAAACAAGAAAAACAACATTTGCATACCACAGAAAGGTAATTTTGCATGCCTATAACTAAATGAGTGTGGAAAGGTCTAAATTAGACTTGGTTACACAAGTGGAGATAGATTTTTAGAGTAATGCCTCCATGTGTTCTGTTCATCCAATTATACACTGTTATGAAGCTTAAAAGGACAAATTTATCCTTCAAAGTCAGAATTTCAGCCCTCGTCTGTCAGATCCCGCCAGAGTTTGACCATATTTCAGCTGCTCGAGTCTCGACCTCCCTCCTCCGTCAGCCTTTTTGTCTGAAGATAACCCCCACCACCTTCCAAAAAAAAAATGGCAGATGGCTCCATCTCTAAATAGAAGTACATAGAGGCAGCACACAGTAGGTCTGCCACGAACAATAGCTGCATGCTCAATCAAGCACCGGCGTTAACGGTTTAACTTGCACACTTTGAATCAGAAGAATTTTGGTCGGCTGCCCAGACAATCCCACCTGAACCGGGGGTGCTTTCCTTTCACACGCCTAACAAGTGCAGTGATAAACGTTACTTGAAATGCTAATTTTCTTCCCAAATTACACACGAACAACTTCAAACGAGCCCGCGCTTTAATACCCTGAATGCTTAACGTTTGAACATCAGGCCGTGCTAATAGTTAAACAGTTAAACTGGCTGCCAGAAGTCCATTTCCATCTCTTAAATCAGTGATGTTTATTCATTTTCCAGAACGCTGCATGTGTGATTTTTATTAAAAGACCCATTTGGAGAGCTGTGTTGTGTCTATACTCGGCTATATGCGAGCCACAAAGCATTTTTTATTTTTTATTTTTGAAAACCGGAGCAGCTAAGCTGAAAGTGGGGCATCCATGTTGAGCATGTTTATGCAGAAATCTGTGAGTTCAAAGCTGTGTTACATACATGTCAGGAAGGCAGCAGAGTGAGAGGGGGTGGCTGGAGTTCAACATGCATTTATAGTGCATCACACAGACAGTATTAAAGAAGACAGGCCACTGAAAGTAAACCAGAATATTCTACCAGCTGTAGGAGCGTTAGATTTGTTGATGATGTGATGCGATGATAAAGCTTGTGTTTTATCAAATGTTCCTCTTTCAAGTTCATCTGGTAGCGAACCAGAGCAGAGACAGTTCAGAATATCAGAAGATTTCCACATGTCAGGGCTGCAGCAACCATCTACTGAATTTGTTTTGGTGGTGCCGACAAAGATAAACAGTCATCTTCAATTTTACTGCAGGCATACAGTATATTCACAGCATTCCTCCTCCTCACAGATTGAAAAGAACCACAGAGGGGTCCCTGGCTTTGAATAAACCGCAGCGAATGAAGCTACTCAAAGAGCTGGGAACACTTAGGGAATAATTCTCCAATTGCTCATGGTTTCTCAGAGGGAAGGGCACACTTCTGGTGTGCGTGACCTATTTTTCCAATCTCATCTGTCAAAAGCATGGCTGCAGCTGGTGGTTCAGAGTTCCCTTTTTGTAAAAGAATGCTTTCAAAAGTCCTCTCTGTCACTCATGCACATCGGTGTCACATTTTCCTCGGGCTTTTCTCCCGGCTCGAATGCTTTGGCACCATTTTACTCTTTTAAAGAAAAAAAAAAATAGAACCAGAAAAAAACAAAAAACACACACTGCTAACAGGGAGCATAACTACATGTCTGGCAAAGCAAGACATTCCTTGCAGGACTGAAGCAGTAAAGTGGTATCTCCCCCTGAGCTCTGGTCCAGAGCTCCCACTAAAAACGGAGCTTTAAGCCCTCGGAGATGGTGGGGAGGGAGAGAGGGAGGCCCCTGGATAAAGGGGAGGGCCGGGACAATGGTTAACCACAGAGTGAAGCATGCCGCTCGAGGCTGAGGCCAGGCGGCACGACATCACAGGGAGAGCAAAGCCTCCCCTGCACAACATTACAGACAGAGCCAGCATGCATCCACGACGAGGGCTTGGCTGACCAAATTACACCCTCGACAGCATGAAAACACAGTCTGTGTCACTGCTGTGGTTTTACCATTCAGTTAGCAGTTCATCTGCCTGCAGAGAGTCGCTGCCACAGATACTGTACATGCAGAACTCATCCTGGCCGTATTCTGGAGGGTTATAACCTCCAGTGACTCGTGTTGTAACCGGAGGATGTTACAACATGCAGTGACTTACATTAGGAACCAGAAGTTCTTTTTTTTTTGTTGCTGCTTTAGTGCATTTTCATGCAAAGTCCTTTTGAGGGGAGGAAATGTTCGATTGCCAAATAAATTCTGCACATGTGAAACTAACGTGTTCAAAGAAGTGTAAGAAACGCTCATCTTTATTTTGGAATGCAGATTAATTTTAGGAATTTCTGTCACAAGATCACATGGAAAACCCTGAAAGCACACGAGCTCTGTGACCAAATCCCTGGAGGCTGTGCAGTAATCTTAAGATTCCATTATTTAATTCTACTCCTGCAGTTGACTCGGGAACTGCACTGAAGGAAAACCTGCCTCGATGTGACAGCAGAGCATCTTTAATCTGAGCTGATCAAGGAACATTTTGGTTTCTAATAAAGGATGCACATCGGTTCGGGAGGTTTCCTTCCTCTTGCGCAGTGACACCACTCATCCTGTTTACGGTGGCTCCTTCCATCACGGTGTGTTGTTGCTCTACAGAATAAACCCGTCTCTGTTCCTGAGTGGAGGCTTGGTTGCTGCTGATGACAGCGCTACAAAGACGAATCAGGTTTCGCTTGTGGCTCCCACCAGCGTGAAGGATCTGTAGCCTGCCGGGTAGCGTCAGGTTCCTCTTAGGGAGAAATGCTGCTCTGCTTCGCTGCACAAGTGGGGGGAGTGCATTAAGTTCTCATTAAATTACTGTACATCCACAGAGCAGACACTTATGAGAGGTCATACACACAGGTCGTCTTATTGGCTTTGGCTCGGAGCCTCAGTGTTCATTTTCACTCTGAAATAGAACAAATAGCACATTCCTCTGGTTTTATTGATGCTTTGCTGGTTGCCGGTCAGTTTTAGAATTAATTTAAACTCCCGGTGCTAACTTTTAGGGCTCTGCGTGGACACGCTGCCTAACACCTGCTAAAGCTTTATTCCTCCACCTGGAGCCTTCAGTCACCTGGTTAGACTGCTGCTGTTTCTTCTTTCAGGCGCCCAGACGATGGGATGCACTGCTCTTGTCTTTGTGTTGCATTGATTGTGTTGTAAAAGCAGCTGAAGATATGTTTTAATCAGAGAAGCTTGGAGGTTTGGCTCTGTGTTTGTACGTCTCTTTCCTTGTGTCCCTTTGTGTGTGTTTTATTGTCATTGTGAAGCACTCTGTGGTTTTATCTATGAATAAACTTTATTACCTGTTTACCTGCTGTGTGTAGCTGCTGGTCTGAGGTATTGTGAAGAGGCTTGATGGCCTCATTGATAGCTCATAAACTAAAGTTGTGATTGCACATGACTAATCGTGCAGCTGTTACTGGGTTTTGTTTGGAATATGTAACGTGACATGTTCGGGGCTCAAACCTTCCACTTAGCATTTGTTACTCTAACAGCCTAATTACACTGATTAACCCTCTGAACTTCAAGCAGTTTCTGTTGTGGTTTATTTTTTTCTCACCGGAGGCTCATTTTTCATTGTGATCTAAAGTCCTGGATCTCTATGGAAACAGCACAGTCATGGCCAGAAGCACAGAGAACTCGAAAATGTCGTCTGTAAAGTGTGGCACCAGTGGAATTCCTCTGATTATTTAATTTGCAAAAACACTAAAATCTATTAAAAATTAAATTTAAATGTACAAGATTTTTTTTTTCCAAGTGTCCACAGGCGTTACAGAAAAGTTGCTCCACATAATTTCCTGCTTTGAGCTGAGTGGCTGAGGGCTTCGTTGTTACGCTGTGGAGGTCAGATCTGTGGGTTTTTTACAGAATCTGGTCACAATGAAGAATTATATTTTGGTAGATTTTAAAATAAAACATGAAGAGTAAAGTTGATTTTTATGAATTATCTGAATTTAAGATGAGATGAGTAATTTGAGGAATGCCGGGAAGTTGAAATCCAACAATTCCTTTGCTTTTTACAGACAAAAGGTGTACGACAACTTTCCAACTCCTGGACAGGTTTTGGGGTTCAGAGAATTAATCTACAATTAGATCGTAGACGAATTTTATATTCTCAAGCTAGTACTTCACATAAATATCTGTATTATTCTTTAGACAGTAAACAAACATCTCCTATTTACATTTGTGTAGCTGCACCGGCTTCTAAATCACTCATGATGAACGTTGGAGTTCTGATCAGAGCCCTTTGTTAAAATAAGCACATGTCATCTGTAGCAGAGGGTTTATGGACTGTGAGTGTGTCCTCGTTTTTCCTTAACAAGTTCTAAAACTACACTTGAGTAAACTGGACTTGAAATGTTCTGGTCCTGGACTGGACACAGAGCTCAGCGGTGCACATGTGCAGTAGAGAGGTGCAGGAGAAGCTTCCAGAAGCTTTACGGGGCGGCTGTGGCTCAGGTGGTGGAGCGGGTCGGTCAATGGTTGGAAGGTCGGTGGTTCGATTCCGCCCTGTAACCTGGTGTCATGGTCGTTGGTCGAGACACCTGAATGTGTTGAATGAATAACTGATAGTGTGAAGCGACTTTGAGTGACCAGAGAAGTGCTGCATCTGATCAATTATTATTTAAGTTCTAACACAGCTTTACATGCCCTGCACTCGAACACAAAGATCAAATTCATTATACTTGCTACTTTTAAGTTCACAAAATTCAGTAAATACAGCTGAATTTTATATTTATGTTTACTTCTTTGAGTGCAACCGGTTTCCCAGATTCGTTTAATCATCTTTTCACATTTTACAGGAAATGCTTGGAGAACTCTTGCCTTCATTGTGTATGTAAACGTTGGACTCACGCTGCTTCTGTTTGGTGTTTTGATGGACAGAGATCCGTAACCAGCTGGTGGAGCAGTTCAAATGCCTGGAGCAGCAGTCTGAGTCCCGCATCCAGCTGCTGCAGGACCTGCAGGAGTTCTTCCGCCGCAAAGCAGAGATTGAACTGGAGTACTCCCGCAGCTTGGAGAAGCTGGCTGAGAGGTTCTCCTCCAAGATCCGCAGCTCCAGAGAACACCAGCAGTTCAAGTGAGTGTCCCTGAAAATGCATGCGTCTGCTGCCGAAGCTGTTCCATGTTCATGTTTGTGCATTTAGAGGTTGTGTGTTGTTGTTTTTCATAGAATGCAGCAGCACTCTCATATATTATTATCATTATTGTTACTATTGTTGCTGTTGTTGTTGCTGATTTTGAATGATTTTGATTTTGAATGCTGTTGTTGCTGATTTTATGTTGGTGTTGTGTTGTTTTTTTCTGGTGTAGCAATTTTCCTGAGGTCTTGTACGGAAGGGATCAATAAAGTTTTATTCTAATTCTAATTCTATTCTAATTCTAATATTTTCTTTCGTTAGTGTTATTCATTTAAACTGCTCCTCATCAACGTTCTTTTTACATTTATTTGTAAAATTGGCTGGCTCGCTTAAATCCAAAACCATGCATATACCAAAAGACTTAATGCCCCGCTTCAGTGTTTCTAGCCTGAACCAGTCCTGCTGCTCATCAGTGTGCCGTTCTGCATCCTGGTGCAGAACTTTACAACAAAACACACATTTTGTTCACTTACTGTGAGAGATTGTCTCCTCATACAGTCATCTGGGCGATAAGATTATAAGAGGTTATAAGAGGACGCAGTTCGTTAAAGAGGTTAAAGACTGTTGAGGGGTGGACATAATCATTCAGTGCTATAATTTAGCACTTAATTTCATATAGGAAACCGCTGATTGAAGCTTTATGCTTAATAACGTTTTAAATGACACTCACTCAGTGCAGCTATGACAGATGCTCCGCCACCTCTGCATCAGAAACCCGTGAACTGAGTCGTGATAAAAGCAGAGGTTAATATAAAATTCAAATTTATTCAAGGTAGAAGCTGGCTGTGAGCAAAAGCAGAACATGTGTCGTACATTGCAGTAATGTATGCATTACAAGATTTTTGTGGCACTTTTGAAGCCTTTTTTTTTGATGGTGAAAATGGGAAATAAGGCGAGAGATTATGGGAATGACATGCAGCAAATGGTCCAGTCGGCTGGGAGTCGAGCCGAGGACTGACTGCTCAGGACATATGTGACCATGTGGCGTGCACCTTAACCACTCGGCTATGATTAAAAAAAGCCAAACATTTTTTGTAGATTGCTCAGCGTATTTACAATATATTGCACAAAATTATACAATATAAGCAACGTAGAGCTCAGGGTATAACACTGAAGATAAATGCAGAAGAAATTAAAGATCTCATTGGTAATATTTTACTGAATAACAGAGGATTGGTTCCAAAAGGACAAACACATCTCAGGAATGACAAAGCCAATGGACAACGAAGGTCACTGAATGTCATCAGACTGAAATCAGATCACCCAGAGCCTTGACCCATTTAGATGTGCAGCTCTGAAAATACTGAAATGTATGCTAGTGGAGAACCGAGGCACTCAGAAATCACCGCTAACACATTGGTACATGACTCACGCAGGGCATGAAATTGAGCTCTGCCGCTCCCAAAATCAAGCACCTCGGGCGAGCAGGCAAGCTTAGTTCAATCTGGTAACGGGAGCACTAACCCAGCTGTGATCTGGCAGCACATCGCACACATAAATCTGCACCGGCACATATGTAGTCTAACTGCAGCTCTGATTCTGGCAACCGGGGGGGAGCAGGGCTGCATCGCTAACATTTCCAATCTTGTTTTTAAGGTGAAATGTGCAACGTGAGGGTCTGTCTAATTCTCAAATGCTTACTGATCTGCTGGATGGCAACTACTGCAATTAGTAATTATAATACCAATTATCAGTAGACAATAAAACAACAGATTTTATTGTTCAGACTGTCGAATATTCACTTGGATGCTTTTGCAAGAAGACGCCTACTTTAAATACTACGATAAGATTAAAAAACAGCTAAAACCGCAGAAGAAAATGGAAAACGGTTGTTTGCATTATATGCAGACTTGTGTGAAAATCCTTTATTAAATATAGCATTTAAGTGTCGTATACTGAGAGAATGCTCTTAGTGTTGTGTTTTCATATATTATTAATTGGTTTAAGCATCAGCATCATTTTATTATTACGGTAGCTGTCAGATAAATAACTGAAAATAGTTTACTGTTTATCTTAGCTGGGGGTTTTCATTTATTTTATTTATTTTTTCCAAATGTTTTTCCAAATCTATCTTTAAATCGAGCCTGACTGTTATTTGTGTCAGTGTGCTTCACCTTCTGCTGTTAGCTTTTGAACAGCGGCTCAGTAGCAGCAGAAGACCTGAGGTGCTTTTACATTCAGGCGCTCTTGGCAGCGCATTGACGAGGCTGCTGTAGAAGTGCAGGTAAATGCAAACGTGAGCACGTAGGAGAGAGGTGTTGCTGTGAAGCGGACGAAGATTTGACTGGATAATTGAGTCCAGCTGTGTAAAAGTTGGTACGCTTGGCTGTGACGTAACTCTTGGCTGATAATCGACAGAACGGTGCTGCTCTACACTGTGGCTTCACCTTTGGACTGTACAGTCGATGTTATCCACACAGCGAGGGACAGGTGCTGGAGAAACACACCTAATCCTGAGACACATGTTCTGATAATCTTACGCTTCATAGTGCCAAGATCATGGTGGCCAACAAGTGTCTCAACACAGCGTCTCAACTAAAGCTACATAAAGTCGATGCTGTCCTTGTTTTGTTCTGTGAATTCGACAAATTAAAAATGAGAGACGAGTGGACGCTGTGAGCTCATGTCCTGAAGCACCAACAGACCAGAGAGGAAGTGTGGATGGGACGCGACCACAGAGGAAGTAATAAATCAGGCTCAAAGTCTCACCTGGCATTCACACCACGTGCACTTGTATAACAATGAAAGCAGCTTTCATTTTTCTCTTTTCTCTTAAAGGTTACATTTGGCACGTTCAGTTCAAACCCACTAATGCATCATCCAAAGTGAGATAATAACCTTATGATGCAGCCAAACTGGTGTTCATAATATTATTGCACCTTGTGCCCTGAGCTGCTGGTGTGCAGGCAGGCAGCCACAGATCCTGGTCATCAGCTGTGACACGCCCTTTACCGGGTCTGTCCTACCACTGAAGTGTAGTTATGTTAATGGAGAGCCACCGAAACACCAAATGAGCCAAGAGGGCAAGAAAAACACTCCAATGAAAGCACTTTGTTGGCGTTCAGCCCGAGCAGGTAGTCGGCACCATTAAAAATCACAGGAAGCAGAAAAAGCCTTTAGAATACACGATTAGTTTATTCTTGATTTTTTAAAAAACAAACTGTCCTTCTACCTGAATTCTCACAGAGGATCTTTCATTGCAGATTAAAACTTGTGCTGCATTCCTTCCTGCTATAAGTAAAACGTCGTGTTTTTGAGGAGCTTCAGAACGCAGCAGTGAAATGGAGTCACCCTGACCATCACAGGCTTCCATATGCCCTGGATCCCAGCCCACCGTCTCCTGGCTGAACCCTTCCAGTGCAGATTCATTAGCGAGCTGAATGCCTCTGTGATTTACAGCTACTGCAGCTACAGCTACACCGCAGCAACCCAACCAAGAATCATTTTGCTCTTCCACTTTACCTCATTTGCCACAGTGAAGAGAAACAGTGAGGGGTTCCTGAGCTGCTCTGCACCGCCGCTGGTTTCTTTCTCTTACTGGTTCACAGCTCCTCGGAGACAACAGCTGACTTGGTTTTAATTATGAACTTTTCAGATGGTATCGTGAATGGTTTTTTATAATGTAGCTCATCAAATTAGAATGGATCGGTATCATGTGTCTGTCATCCAGACGTGGCACCATTAGAGAGGCAACTCATGCAATATTGATATGGAGAATAACCTGTCTGAAAGAGATAAGACAGGCCTTGTAGTGATGTGCGACTGTGGGTGTGTTAACATCTCTGCGTGATTGGTCTGAGAGTAGCGGGGGAGAAAAACCGTTTGGTCTCTTTACAGCGTCAGATCTTTGTGAGTTATTTCAGGTTTGAAGTTGGCTTTGCCCGCTCAAGTGATGTCTCTGTTCACGTCACGGTCAGCGGGAGACAGCCTGAAAACCTATCAGTGGATATTGCAGCTTGTTTCGGCATTACACATTGTGATGCAGCCCGTGTCCACGGCGCGCTCGTCTTTGAAGAGCCTCTAAAAACTGTTATGCACTTCAGTTATGATGTAATTATGTGGAATGAAGCATGTCACTGCAGGATGGGAACAGATGCTTTCATGGTGCTTTGTGGCATTTGTACAAAGACACCAAAACACAGCTCAGCTCGCTTCAGTCCCGTTTAGTGTAAGTGTGTTGTTGAAGTGCGGCTGCTCTCTGGTGGTCTGAGGGCCAAAGGGCAAAAGGTTGAGCTGGATCTCTGTAGGCCTGGTTTGTTTGGACACAGCAGTCAATGCCCTGCTCTTGTCAGGTTGACGGCTCCCGCTGGTGAAAAGCAGCGCGTACAACATCGGTGTATTAGCTGTTTTGCAGTTTGTTTTTCAGATCTTGCTAAACCTCCGTCTCCCTCTTTACTGACGCTGCACGATTCCCGGCGCCGCTCTGCGTATCTGTGCAGCTGTGCGTTATCAAATGCTGGCAGCGTGTCTCCTCACAAAAAAAGAAACCCAAAACTGCTAAATGATGTGCAAATCAGCAATGCAGCACGTTGAAGCCCAGCTTCAAAACGGGGGCAAAACGAATTTGAATGGCAAAGCTAGCGGCGTGTGCCCACGTGCCCCTTGTCTTTTGAAACTGTTTGGCTCTTTCTCCTTTTCCTTGGCTGTTTCATTGATAAGCAGCAGGCAGGCAGTGTGGAGGGGATTAAAGGCCTTCGCAGAGCCGAGTCCTGGTTTGATAAATACACACTTCCTTCTGGAAATCCTGGCTCAGACACATCAGAGGCTCTGGGTGATTAGATGGTGGCATTCAGCACAACCGTAACTAAAGCATGGCCACTGTTCTATACAATGCTTCCTTGTTCCGGGTGTGCACATTATGGAGGCAGCTTGCTATCAGTTTATCCTTGATTCAAAGGATTAATACGACGTTGTCCAACCGCACACTCCTCCTCATTCACTTCCACTGTCTCTGCGCCTCATCTGCTTCGTCCATGCGTTCCCAGATTATACTACATGTATGTATCTGCCACACAGGGACAGCGAGAGAGAGCAGAAATTGTAAAAAGCGTGTAGACAGTCAGACGGTGCTTTGCAGGATGAGACGGATGTAATAGGATGCCAGAAAGCTGCTCTCCTCCTCCTCTTCCTTCTCTTTTCTCTAGAGACTCTCAGAGCTCATCGTTTGCCTTCTTCTGCATGTTAATGATATCCTGTGTATAAATACTGAGGGCAAGGAGCCATCCAAAACCAACGCTTTTGAAGCCCTTAAGATTAATTGACCTGCATGTTCTCAATTGACATTCATCCTTTTACGGGAAATCGGCGAGCAGAAGTGGGCACAAAGTGGAGATGGTGGAATGAATTTTGTGATGTCTGTGTCCTTTTTTGAAAGATGGGCCTCTGCAGAAGAGCCGGTTTAAAAAAAGATAGCGCAATAAAACAAGCCGTGGAGCTGCATTTAGTGGTGCGTTAACGGACTCGGGTCCCAGAGACGTGGCTGGTACACAGGCCTCATTACCGACCTTCTGCTCCTAATTCCTGTGAAATGAGGGCAGCAGCAAGGGAAGGAGATCTGGTGTCATTTGTCTCCTTTTCTTTCTCGTCTCCAAGGTTTTAACCCTCAACATTGAAAATCTGTAGGCTTCCATTTTCAGACCTTGTCATTCCTTAATTTAGAATTTCTTTCCACATTATCATCTTTGTGCAGTTCTTCTCAAAACTGTCAAACTGTGCGGTTGACGTGAGAGTAGGCGGTGCCTCTGAAGTTCTGGTGCTAACAGCGCGGCTCTCGGGATCACAGTGTTGCTTCACCACTTTGAAATATTTCTGCAACTGTTGAGTGGATTTCTATTAAATTTTGTACAAACATTTGTGGTCCTTGGAGGACGAATCCTGCTGACTTTGAAGGCATCTTTACCACTTGAAAGTATTTCCATTGCCACAAGATTCAGTATAAATAGGCAATGCTTCCTAATGGCTGATTTTTCCTGTTTCATGAGCCACCGTCAGAGTTTGTGGCTCTGAGTGAAATTACTTCACGTCTGCTTGATGGATGAAATTTGGTGAAGACGTTCCAGGTGTTACTTTGGTAATGCTGCATTTTCAATGTAGTGGTCACAATTTTAATCTGACCACCAGTGCTTTAGGATCACATGCGTAGAATCCTATCGACATTCTGCAGCCTCAGGAGACTAATTAGCTAATATTAGCATGCTAATACGCTAAATTAACAGCGACATTGACAACACTATCCACCTTCATACCTGCTGAACATCAGTATGTGGCAGTTGTCATTATGTTGGTGTGCTCACAAAGCGTGCTGCCATGCTGGGAGGCTTTTAGCTCAAAGCGCTGCTGTGCTGAACGACAGACTCCCAGAAGGCAACGGCGTCTTAAGCTCGCCCGATGAATTACAAATATATTCCTTCAATATATGGTCCTGCACGTCAGCAACTTATAAAACATATTTAATAAATCTACATTTAAAAAAGGCAAATTTCATTCTAATAATTTCAGTGAGGTATGAATCTTGTATTCCAGTCGAGTTAAACACGTATTAATCCAGACGAAAGGGACCACAGGCCCTCAAGCACTTTAAATCATCAGCCGAGGATTTATGTTTGTAGAGAAAGTGTGCAGGACTTGGTTGGAAAGCTGAGGAGGATATTAAAAAAATTGGACTAAATGGAGACCAGGTTGTGCTTAGGGATGAGATGAAGCATCTCTGACCACTTTTAGGGATTAGCAGAGAGTCGAGGTGCTTGTTCCCTAAACCTCTCAACCACAAACAGCAATTATCCTCGGAGGAGCTGCGTCCCTTACAGGCAGATAGGTCAGTCAAGCAGAACTGGTACAAAATGAGGGATGGTGAAGCAGCAGAAATAGGGCATCCCGGAGGAGTGAGTATGTCTACATTAGGTCCACTCATGTTTAAAAAAACCCAAATCCTGCTTGTCCTTTGCATAGTTCGTATCATTATGCTGCAGCAAATGAATGTTCAGTTTAATCACTTTATGACGTCTTGATTGCAACACAGAGACGTGGCTTTGATCGCTTATCTCCTTTGAATTAAGATTTCTATAATTATAAATGGACTCCTCTTGCACACAAAGTGCACCTCAGGACACCGGCTCCTGTTAAAGGCCTATCAGTGAATGTCCAGATGAGGTTTACTCCACACGCTATCCTATTTTCTGCTCCACACTGATGTTATGAGGACGGCGTGCTGGTGTTTGGCCTGATGCGAGTGCGTTCAGGGGCAGAGTTAAGTAAAGAAATGATGGTGAAAGCACTCTGGAGTAGCTAGATATCAGCTTCATTAGATGTGATTAGCATTATGGAGGCTCTCTGAAGGGGATGTCTTTGATGTCGGTGCTGCTCATCCCTTTCTTCTGCTCCACAGTGAAACCCAATCCCCCACCCTGTTCCAGTTCTCTCCCTCTCCTGCTCTCATTTCCCTCCTCGCTCTCTCTTTGTCTCCTCCTCGGGGTTGGTTGATTGATTAATGCTCAGATTGGATCCAGACAAGGGTATGGGTTTGAAGGGATTGTGTGTGTGTGTGTGTGTGTGTCTGGTTCGATGTCTATGCGCCGTGGTCTTTCTATTTGAAAGCACCCGAGGCGGAGACAGTTTAAACTGATTATGCAGCAATCAGGGCCCATGACTCTCTGGATCATTATTGTAAATTTAACCCGTTGAAGCCCCACTAGCCGTTTGTTTGGAGTGATCTGGAAGATGGAAGGAAAGTGATGGAGTGAGGGGAGAAACATTCACTGAGGTCAAATGGGGAAAGAAAGTAGGAACAGCAGTGATGTTTTATGCTACAACTTTTAGCTATATGTTTTAATTTAGCAGTAACTTTTTATGCTTTCCTGTTTAGCCAGACAACATTGTTAGCGCCTCCAAAACACTATTGTGAAGCGTCTGGTGGATGACTGCAACGATTAACCGATTAGTCGTGAACTATTAGATGAATCTGTTATAAGAATTGACTAATCAATTTGAGTCAAAATTCCAGCTTCTTGAATTTAAATATTTCCTGGTTTCTTTTCTCCTCTCTGATCTTGGGCTGATCAACACTTTTCACCATTTTCTGGTGTTTTGTAGACCAAACATTTAATCAATTAATCAAGAAAATTATCTGCAGATTAATTAAAAAAGGAAACCGTTTGCTGCTGCCCAAGTCTCGGCTGTACATTGTGGCCAGTGCTAATGATCACATCCTCCGATATGAACACATGAACATAAGACGGTAAACTTGATTAAAAATGATACCTGGTAATTATCAACCTTTTCCCTTTCTGAGCATGTTAGCGTTTAGCGTAGCATCACTGTGTCCAAGTACATCGCCGCAGTGTGGCTGTGAACTCTAACTTTTGTTGTTGTCGCTACATTATCACCTCTTCCAGACTTGTTTTTTTGTGTGTGTGTGATGTCCTAACAGTCTTGTTTTTGTCTTCTTATTCCAGGAAAGACCAGCACTTGCTGTCCTCGGTAAACTGCTGGTATTTAGTGCTGAACCAGACGAGGCGCGAGAGCCGCGACCACGCCACCCTCAGTGACATCTACACCAACAATGTTATCGTCCGCTTGGCTCAGATCAGCGAGGACGTCATCCGTCTGTTCAAGAAGGTCAGTGAGACTATCATCTCTCCCTCTTTGTGTGCAACCACTTTCTTATTACTGCTGCCCAAAATGTCAGCGGCCTGGGACGACACAAATGCCAAGCAGTTTGGTTTGAAGCTGGGCTTCGCTGTCAGCTGTGGTGCTGCTCTAAAGGTGAAAGCAGCCTTTCTAGGTTTTCTCTTCAATTCAGTGTGCAAATCTATGGTAGCCTAAAGAAATGTGGCGATGCTGTCTCTGTGCATATTGAGCTAGAAAGGCAGCAAAAGAAGCTCAGTGAGGACCGGCAGCTCCACAGCACCGTCTGGCTCACTGTCAGCACATAGCAGAGATGGCTGAGGTCTTATCCAAACATCAGAGGCCTGTTTTCACCTTGCAGGCCTTCCTGGAGGTGAGCTCCACTCTGTTTGCTCGGCTCCATTCAGATATTCTGCCCGTCTGTACGTGTGCACATGTGTGGATGCCTTCGTGTCTGAAGCGGTGCCAGAGCTGAAGACTTGTGAAAAACATTCCATCCTTTTGGAGTCCAGTGCCCTCAGGTGGCTTTTTTCTTCCATATTTGAATTCATGAATGGACGACTGTGCTGCCGCTTGCTAGCAGACACGCTGGGAGGCAGTAAAATTTATTAAACATAATGTCCTGGAGAAAATTAAAAGTGTTAACCTACGATGAATGAGCTTTGGTTGACCGCCGGACGAGGTGACCGCGGACAAAACAACAACCAGCTGATAAAGATTTTATAGGAATGTGTCACATTTATTAATCATCTCATTTATTATAATGTTACATCCAACATATTATGTGGGTATAAATGGCCTTTGACATACCTGCTGTGAGAACTGAACATGTAGCATCCCTCCACGTTTTACGGGCGTGTTGTGCTTTTGTTTGGTGGTTAATTAAAGTTGAAAGAATGTGTTCAGAACAACAATTACATGAGGTGTGGCGAACATGAATGTACAGAAGGTCCTGTTCTCCAGCTGCTCCATGTGCCAAAACATGACCAAGCCGCCGCGAGTCTAAATGATCTGCTTTGTGCATCTTAGAGAGGAAAGATTTAAACGTGTGCACACATTTTCTGGCATCACTATCAGAACTATCTCCATGATGACCCGCCACAGCTCTTGCACTGCGTTGCATCACAGCCGTTCACTCGCTGGATGAACCCTCGCTGCTCCCCCTAAGCCTCTGCAGTACATGCTGCAGTCTGTCTTACTCCAGAGCCGCTGATGCATACAGATGCCACTCACCAGCTGCTGGAGCCCTCTGAGGGCAGATCCTATTTATCACATTCAGCCCAGTGCCTGTTTGAGTGGGACTTAATGCTGGAACTCCAGATAAAAAAAAAAACAAAAGCAAAAACAACAAATTCTCTTCTGTGTTACTGAACTTATGTCGTTTCTCTTGTTCTGAGTACATTTTGTAATCTCGTTAAAAGGAGAACTGCTGGAGCAAGATTTTGCTTTATGAGCTGTTTCCTCCTTTGATGATTAGTTTAATTCCTGACTCACCAGTTGCAAGTTTTTTCAAGCACAGTTATTAGAGCTGAGCAGGGTGTGGACAGAAAGGCTAACTTTCATCTGTCTGTACGTCTCTCTGGATGTGGTGTGTGTGTTTGTGCTGGTATTACTCATGTTGTGAGGACGTGAAGCTGCATACAGCATTGTGGGTTCATGCTTCCCTTTCAGAGAAACAAAGACATTCGGTGAATTTCAGCATGACCTCTTGGTGAGGTAAGGTTTGGGTCACGGTTTAGGGTGTGAAAAGGAGTAGCTGCTTCTAGGGTTGGGTTAAGTCTGCAGGAAATGAATGTAAGTGGAAGTGATGGAGACATGACTGTGTACGTACTCGCCCTCTCTGTTTAGTTGTTCGGTCTATACAGGTGCTGCAGGGCTTTCTTCTAGCACAGCTCCTCCCTCCTGCCTCCATCTGATACTTCATTTATGAAGTGACCATTATGCATCTTGCTGAGTCATTATCTTGCATTTCTCCACATGCACCAGGAGAAATGAGTCAGCTGTTAATGCTGGTGAAAGACATGTCTCTAAAAGGTAGTGTGCACAGTGGGTGGGTCGACGCAACGTTTTCTACTGTTTTCAATGGTATGACAGCCAACAGCTCACATCATCTGTTAGCTGCAACAAGTCGCTCATCTAATCTGCCAAAGCTGCATGCATCAGTTTCCAGATGACATGTTCTTCCTCAGCTTGTGAAGTAATGAATTATTCTTTTGCAGTTTACATATTGTGAAGATATATTTCGCAACAACTAAATTAAAAAACACCTCACACTCCTCAGTGGTCCCTCACAGTTCAGCTCTGATGAGTAGCGGCTCTTCCATTAATGCCCGTGATGCCATTTTGTTGAGAACCGCTTCGTTTTTTGCTCCTTCTGAAGTTATACGGGAGAGAACTGGTTTCCAGTGGAGGTGTTTTCATACCCAGTGATCTCAACCTCCAACAGAACCTGCTGCTTCTTACCCCGGTGAGAAGAGAACCACCGTCGTAGGACTGAAAACCCAGGATTTAACCTGAAGCTACCTCAATAACCCTAAATCCTGTTTCGTAGTACAGGCCCCAAATGTCTATTAAATCAAATAAACTGAACCAAAGAAGTGCCTTTTATATCAACCAAATATCAGTGGTACTTCAGCAATGGAGAACCAATTGTAATCAGATTAGCAGGAGGTACAGACAGTGATGGTACAAATGTTGGGTTTTGCATCGCTCACTTTTAAGCACAACAACTTCCAGTTCCTCTGCATAGACGAAGTGTTGTTTCTGTTTTTCGAATGTGCGAGACCGTCACACTGAGATGGCCTGTTGCTGTTTCTCACCTCACAGTGTCTTTAAAGAACAGCTTTCTACCTCTCTGCCACACAAACAGACGTTATTACATCCACTCCTCCGGTTATTTCTCCCTCCGGTCCAGGTGTGACCGATGTTTCTGAACACTAGACGTGCTGTGCTGTGTGATGACTGAGGAAGAAGTCAAAGTGCATGAGTGTTGGAAGCTGTTAGAGGGACTAGCTGTGCTGCTTCTCAAGGTGTTTACTGCGTCTGAGACAGAATCTTCAGTGAGATTTCAAATCTGAATTGGTCGTGAGGGAAAAAAAATCATAGCTGAAGGAATAGTTTGAAGTGTATTGATGTATGCTAGAATGGGTTGTTCTTCTCTGATTAGAGTTTTATGTAGACAGTTTTTTTTATGTCAGACCATATCACACATTGGCTTCACCCCTCTACACCAGTTATATCACCACACAGATAGCAACAGATGTGAAGAAGACTTCGGTAAATGACAGTCTAAATGTGCAGTTTGTAGCACGCAACAATCACAGCTAATTAATTGCATTTCCTCACTATTTAGTGACAACTATAAATGTATGTCTGCTAATAGAGGAGTGTTGATATGTTCTTGTGATGCAGTTGAAAGACCACCACTATTGAAAATCAAGGTTTTTACCTTGCTGACGTATCCGTGTGGGGTTTTTCTGATATGCTTGAAGACATATCATGAGCCACACAGGCAGTCAACATCATATCTGAGGATTTCTCCTTTGAAACTGCAGCGTAGTGATTAGAGATGGTCATGACTTCTGTTGAAAATATATTGACCAATGTGGCAGAAGGCGAAGGACGTGCATGTCCAGAAAGGGATTGTAGATTGGCTGTAGTACCTGGTTGTGCCAGTAGGTGGAGTCTCTACTGTTTAACACTGTAGTGACCTGCAAAAGGCAGTCTCACTCAGGCCGTGTCCGACATCATCCACTTTACCCCACATAGTGCACTTTATAGGGCGTTTGCCATTTTGTAGTGCTGCACTCAAAATATCCCACAATGCACCGTGAAAAGTGCGTACAGCTGATGGTCACCAACCAGCAATATGGACCATCATGCATTCCGTGAAAGGAAAAACAAACTAGACGAGCGAGAGTGTCATTAAAATGTAAGTAGTTTCCCGTTTATGTTTTGTTAAATTTAATTTCACCTGTTTCTTAGCGATGCAATAAACTGTGAATTTGATGCGTTTGCACAAATTGCGGCTCGCGAGCGATGTAATTATTAGCACGAGTAGTGTTACTTTACCGAGGTGCTCCCTACATAGTTCACTACATAGTGGTCCCTATAGAGGGAGCAGGGAGTGAGTGGATTATTTCAGACACAGCCTCAGACTGCATTGTGGGAGTTTAGCTCGTTAAGTACCACCATGAGAAGCATCTTGTAACGCTTAATACCTACCAGAGATCTTGTCGTGTTGATGAGCTGAGGTGACAGCACCACTATGAGCAGATTGTCTACACCTTTGGAATGGCCCATATTGCACAACGTAAGCCGCTCAGCTTATTTAACTAAAGTCGTTTTGTGTTATTGAATAATCTGGTGTTGATTCATAAAGCCTGCTGACTAATTGGTTAGAAAGGTGTTCAACATTTGCTTCTCTAGTCCTGATGACCGTCTCAAGAACACGTCTCCAGACAGCCAGAGTCCAACTGGAGGAACTGTTCCTACCGTGTTAGATTCTGGTTTAAACGTGTACGCCTTATGTGCTCTGATATTACAGCTTTTCATTGTGGACTAGTGTTGGAGTAGAGTCGTAGGTGAGCTGGTGTGCTCGAACTGCAGTGGTGCATTTTAAAGACCTGCACATTCTACAGAGGGGAAAGGTGTAGAGTTACATCTGAGCTGTTTTAAGGCACAAAGGAATTGTTTTCATGAAAAACAAACTTCTAAATAGAGCAGATAGGAGTGACTTTGTAAAATCAGTTTGTGTTCCTGAACCGAACCATTGGACAGAGGAAGTTCTGACCTGTTTGTGTCGTAGGATGAAGAGCCACTGAAGTCAGGTCCATCCATCCAGTCGTTGTTGAGATATTTGTCTATGACTCACCGAAGTCACAGCGTCAGCATAATCGGGTTTGTTCCATCGGGTCACTGCTGACGGCTCGAACATTATTTGTCTTCTCAACCGTGTTCTCTCTTCTGGCTGTTTTTCAGAGCAAGGACATCGGGATCCAGATGCACGAGGAGCTGGTGAAGGTGACAAATGAACTCTACACTGTAAGTAACCGAGTGCGTCTCCTGCAGATCGATCTCTCACACCTCATCTCATCGCTGAGCTCATCCAAACTTCTTTTTCCTCTTCGTCTTTCTGACATTTTATTTCACGTTATTTTTCTCCGTGTTTTGTTTTATCGCCTTCTTGCTTCTTCTTCTTCCTGCTTTACTTCGGCTCTTCTTGTTGGCACTGCGCTCTGGATCTCGTTTTATTTTTTTTTTTCCAGATTTTTCCTCTTTTACTTCTTCGTCTGCTCTTGAACGTTTGTACTTTCCTGATTTAATACTTTCTTTGAAGGCAGGTACACTGGTTTAGGATCCAGATGAAAGCGTTCTTTTATTTGAACAATTAGCAAACGCGTGTGTCACCGGCTGCAAGACGTCTGCATTCAGTTATATTCTGTCCTTGTTACACCAGGACGGCCATCATTTTACCCCTGTTTGCCCCTGATTAAAGGCCAATACATGCGCTCTGCAAAAACCTCCTGAGAACGCATTAAACATCAGCAGCTGATGCCTTTGGTTTCTTTTTCTTGACTCGTATGAGGTCAGATTGTAAAAGTATTCAGGGTCTTTTGTTGAATTCACTTCATGTCAGTATATCAGAAGGAGTTCTGTGGTTAAGTTCTCAGTGATGTCTTCCACTTATTTTATACCCGCTTAGTAGGAATGGGTTTGCTGACGACTGATGATAATAAGTGAGAGGGAGAGACGGAGTCAGGTAGTCGTAAAGGATGAAAAGGAACCTCACATTTCTCTCCAAATTGGACAGGTTCTGGGCTCAGATTACTTTCACATCCCTGGTTGTCTCTGTGAAAACCCTGCCTGCCTGCACACAACTGTGTCCGTTGTTGGAATGACACTAGAGATGTATTTCAGGAAAAATAAGAAGCGCATTACATAATGTGCATCTGGTTTCCTCAACAATGGACTCGCTCATTCGTTTTAGGTCACCTGTTCCAGCTCAGCTGTGTTCGATGCCGCCGCTCGCTGTGCTTTGTTGTGGATGTGCAGTTACTCTAATGACCGGTTTCTCTACTGGTACAATGTGTTCCTTTCACCACTGTTGTAGAAACGTTCTTCAGCTTCAGCGTGATGTTGCTGGAGAAACAGCACGTCACATCTCTTGCTTCTCTAAAAAAGCAGATTGTTTTCCCCCCTCGGCCTCCATGCAGCCACGTTTTTATTTTTTCCTCAGCACGCAGCTCTTGGGTATCCTGCAGCTGCTTCCCATATGTTTTACTATAGAAAAGGTTAATGGCAAACGGCCTTATTGATGGATGTTTCCTGCTGTACTGTATCGCTATGGCTGGCCAAAGTGATGGCTTTATCCCCAACAGATCCAATATAGTCAATATTTCATTGCATTTATGAATACTATTTGGATTAAACTGTCAACTTTTGACAGTTCTGGCGGTCAAAAAAATCAGTGCCACATTAGAGAGCAATATTAATGAAGGCAGCATGTTTCCCAATCCCACATTTTCTCAGTTGTATTTTTAATTTGGGTGTCACACATGCTGTGACTCCATCAGCTCTTACATATGATAAATGCTTCTAATTAGCAGTGTTGTATTGACAGGTTATTTAAATAACTTCTCTGCCCACTATATCTCCAAACATTTACAGCTATGCTGTGTTTATTCTGCAGTAATTAGCAACAGGTTGAGAGAGAAATGGTAGATATGTTTTTTAAAGGTCGAGTATTCAAGGTTGCTATTGGTTTCCAGCGGTATAAAATCTCGTTGTTCGTTTAATTCTGCTTCCCCCATTGAGGCAGACATCCCCTCAGTCCTGGGTTCTCCACTACTGGTGTTTGAGGACGGCTCCCGACGCCCCGTTGACGATCGCTTTCAGGCTCGACATGCTCTGAGATCCAGTGGTGTAGCTTCTATTTACATACTCGGTATAAAGGAGATGGATAACTAATAACTGGAATCAATACAGTATAAATATAAACATGAAATTTAGAATAGCATGAGCTTCTGATGCTGAAGGCGGGACAGAGTAACTACAGATAGAGACAGATGGAGAGAGTCAAATTAGTGTATTGTATTGTTGTATTGTTGTTTTTATTTTTGAGGGGGAAAATTTGATTCCTGATAAAATACATTAATTTAAAAACAACAATACTGGTATTTCCTGCAGGAGAGCCTGCAGATAGATGAACATTTGTCAGGGATGAGAACACACAGTCCTGGTGCTGCACTGTTACTCTCATACAAGCTCTTATTTAGGGAGGCTTAGTGCCCAAACCTGGATGAGCTCCAAGCAACTTCAGCAATCTTCTGCCCCCTGAGGTGAAACAGAAGAGATGGCAGAGCCGCCTTTTATGACTTATTCATCTGTGCAGCGTGATGAGAGTCAAAATACCAAAGGGCAGCGCTGGCAGCGTTCCCTGATCGGGCCATCTGTAGATCTGGACCCTGAAACAAACAGTGTCGGGGGTGGCATGTGATAATCACGAGTGCATACAGTGTATGCTAGTTATATTCAGGCACGGTTCTAGTGGACTGTGTTGCTGATCAGATATCCTACACAGTCAGTGATCTTTATGTTAATCAGTGAAAATACAAGGGTTGTTTTCAGTTTGGTTTCTAGTATCAGAGTGTATTTCAGCTCCACTGTGGTGTACACTTTAATATATATTTCTTTTACCCATATGAAGCGTCCATAATGAAACTCAGATGCTCTCTCTTCTCATGCTCTACTTGGCCTCAACGGCAGTCTGGCTGAAAAATGAAAACGTTGACGTACAGCCTCATTCTTTCTTTAATGTGAGAGAGGTCGTGGGAGTTTGTTTGAAACTTCACAGCTAAGGTGGAGAATTAAATGCTCCTTTAACACGAATATATCACCCTAAGAAATGTATTATTCATGCTCAATCACATGCATTTTCACACTTACAAGCTCGTTTCTCTGTCTCGCCGTCGCATAATGACTCTACTTGAAGGGTAATCTCTCCTTTGGTGTCTCTTCACATGGTGTCCTTTTTTTTTAATGGCTTGTCCCCAGCCAGCGTTGAATGCTGTTGTTCTCGTTTATTGTTCATGTAATATTGCCCTGGTTTGGTTTTTTTTGTAAAACCCTTTAGGACCAAATGTACTTAAGATCTGTAAAGTTATATATTGGAAAGTTGTTTACCACTTACCACAAGAGCCTGATCGGTACATCGGTCGATATTTTTGAATGTGTTGTCTGATCTACAGCAATATAAAACTTTATTTTACAAAACCATCCATCCATTATCTATACACCGCTTAATCCTCACTAGGGTCGCGGGAGGGCTGGAGCCTATCCCAGCCGACTTAGGGCGAGAGAACAGAACAGAATACAGAATAAAAACGATGCTTTAGATCACCTCGGTACTGTCTGCAGCACATGTAGCAGAGTGCATATCATAGCTGAGCAGATAGCGGCGCAGAGTCAAGCTGTGTCCTTATGGTAAGTTGCCAACTGGTTTCTAAAAATTAGTATTGGCCCCAAAAATACACGGTTAAACTTTGTCATAGGTTGTGGTGGTAACTATAGCATAGCCTGGCAAAAGCTATAAATTTACCACATGTGACTGACTAATCTGATTTCACCTCTTGATGAGCAGCGGTAGGGGTGTGCTGGAAATAAATCCTGCCCCATACTCACCATGGTTGGGTGTGATTACTGGGGATTCACGATATATCGGCGACCACAGTAGTATCGGCCGATATCAGTGTTTTTTCCGATATATCGATATCGGTCCGATGAACAAATTTAGCCGACGACTGTCTAACATCAGCGCCTTCGTCTCTACGTCTGATCTCGCTGCTGTTTCACAGATGTTTTTACTTAAATGGTCCTGGACATTAAATATGTTAAATTCTGTTTAAATATGTTTTACTCTTGTTATAAAGAAGACTATGTGGTCTAATTTGGGCTTCTTTTGAATAGTTTTCACGTTGTCACAGACAGTGCGTACTTATACTCATTTTTTGGTGTGAACAATTTTTGTTTATTTTTTTAAGTTGTTTTTTTGGCGTTTTTGCCTTCATTATGTAGGACAGTGAAGAGAGAGAGACAGGAAAGTGGGGGAGAAGAATGGGGGGAGGACTTGCAGCAAAGGGTCATGAGCGGGATTCGAACCCATGGCCACTGCATCAGGGACTATAGCCCCTGTAAGTGGGTCACCAGCTCAACCGGGTGAGCCATAGCGACGGCCCAGGTGTGAACATGAATTTAATATCGACATCGGTAATATCGGTTATATCGGCGATATCGGTATCAACCAGAAATGTTAATATCGTGCATCACTAATGGTCACATATGAACACGTGTGCTCTCATGTGCATCCCGGCTGGATAACACCTCGTGGAGTTTCTGTTTTGTGTTGGAGGATGAAGCATCTTGTTTTTTTATGACTGGGCCCTTGTTAGTATTTCATTGTACTGTAAAAGCTAAATCGATAGTGAGGCCGCATGGTGATTGCCTCGTGGCATTTTCTAACACTTCTCACCAGCTGCCAACAAAAACTAATTTTTGCTAAAAGAAAAACTGTGAAATCCCATTTGTACGGCGGCAGCTTGGTGAGAGGTAAGGGGGAGATGCGAGTGTGAGCTATTGTTCTAATATTGTTCAAAGTGTGACGCTGCAGTTGGAGCATCAGTGGGAGCGAGGATCCTGTCGTCTGCAGCTTGTCATTAACACCAACCCTGAATGTGACAATAAGGTCTGAATGTCTGAAGAGTCGCTCACTTCCAAACATTGCTTTCGGCAACGTGGCTCTGTGGAAATTCAGTTTTCTTTGCGTTAATTTCCTGCTCTAGCGGCTTAATATCCCCGCTGGGATCAATAAAGCTTTGGCTTATCTTATCTCCCTGATCTACCACCTTGTGTCTGATGTCTGCTCTTCAGTTATTCTTTTGTTAACAACAACAACAGCGCTGATGCTGAAGCCGTGTCTCAGACGACGCTGCTGGTGTCGTTTTCATTCGTTCAGAGACAGCGTGGTGCTTCACTCATGACATGTTTGATGAAAAAGTAGGTGCTCTTCACAACCTTCATAAATAATAACCGTTTATTTGCTCTGCGTGTGTGTTTATGTAGCTGCTGGTTGTGTTTGGTCACGTGTGTCCATTTATGGGTCGAGCTGCTGTTGAGCCGTTTGGTTTGGATCATTTTATTGGTTGATGTGTACTAAGGCTGTAAATATTAGTTTGTTTGCTTTGTGGCGGTTGTGCTCTACGTTTTGTGTTGGTCACGTGTTGCTGTTGCGTTCGGTGTGAGCCATGTGTCGAGGCATCCACAGACAATTCCATTAAAACTATTTGAGAGCGTTTGTTTTCTCCATGAGGTTGTCCCTCTGGGTGTTTGTACAGTTGAGAAGACACAAGTAAGATGGTGATCTCTGGAGTACAGTTGGATGCTTCAGACTGTGTGGGCCTGTGATGGCTCAAGGTGTTTTGCTGCATTACCTGTCGCTTCATTCCTCGATTGGATTAACTTTGTGTGACCCTCGTGACCTGTGGTTGCTTTTTTTGTAGGTATACAAGATCGAAGACAGAACAAGAGGACATTTGGATGTTTTTAGGGCTTCTAGAGGAGCTAGGAGGTGTTCTGCCCTTCTGCAGCAGATTTGTGGGGTGGTGCATGAACTTGAATGTCTTACCTGAGTTGGTTTGGATGGGAGGTCCAGCATCGCCACCACACTCCTGCTGGAGCTCCCCATGCTCATGGCTGCTTGTGTTTTTGCATCTTGTCCACTCGACAGTTTCTGAAGTTGTTTATTTACTGAAGCAAAACTTTTATTTTTTGTAAACTCTGGTTTTGCTGCAGCCCACGAGCCGGCTCGTAACGATATTAAAATTAATTTGTGCGGTGTAGTATTTCGATTAAACCATCAGTTCCTGTGTCTTACTCAGCTTTCCTTGCAGCAGCTTTGCTACTTTCATTAGACCTCCGTCCCACTTGTACAGCAGACTCTTACTAGTGAGGAAAGTAATCTGAGGTGAGAGAACAGGCATGATGTGCAGCAAAGGGCCAGAAGTCAAACCCCAGAAATATTAGATTCATGGTGAATAAAAGATGTTTTTGTGGCGTTCATTGTGAAAAACTCTGGTCATTCTCTCGCTGTGTCTTTCATCAGCACGGAGACTCTGCTCGGGAGCTGAGTGGCCCTCGGCTGCTGTCGGAGGACTCGGCTACACACACACACACACACACACACACACACACACACACACACACCTCCTGTAGACACAGCTGAAGCTCAGTCTTCCTGCAAATTACTTTGTGTCTTTAGCTGCAGGTCCTGCAGTCAGATGGTTCAGAGTTAGCTGGAAATTTAGCACATTTTCAGAGGAGTCTGAGCAGTCTGACAGCCTGGGGAGGTACACAGCGTTAGCCTAGTTTCTGTTGTGCATCGATGTTTAGCTCCGTCACTCTGAGAACAGACTACTGTACTTCTGTTTTTTATTATATTTTCAGGTTTTTGCCTTGCAGCTCTTTAACACTTTGCTGCTCTTGTTATTCTAGGAGTTCTCAAACTGACGGGAAAGGAGTCGTATTTGTTCCAGGGCAGAAAGGGGGTAATAAATAGAACCTCCTCCAGTGGCATCAGTGGTAAATATTGCTGTCACACAGGGTTGGAGGTCAGGCCAAGATTATAGCTGCGAGTGACCCAACGGCCAACCTGTGATCTAGATGAGTCGCTCTCGTACAGATAAAAGGTGTCCTGCTGTTTTAGTGACCCACAAAGCGAGCCTTGCGTGCTTGATCACAGGAAACAAATAAATTACTGTTTATGCTGACTGTCTGACATCCTGAGGTGTTCATAGAAAATCGTGAATACCGGAGACGTTTGAAGACACGACTCACATCTGGACGCTCCTTTATGAGGCTCAGAAATGGGCCCAGAAGAGGAGAGAGTCCCGACGAGCATCTGGGACGAGTTAAGAAAGACGAAGGGGGCTTCTGTCTTGTCTAACGAGGGTTTTGTGTCACTCCAGTCTTGTCATCACCGTGTTGGACAAGGGAAGGGGGGGAGGGTGTCAAAGTTTGAGTGTCTAAGTCGAGATCAAAGTGAGGCGGCGGCAGCAGAGAACACAGAAAACAATGCTGTCACTCTGCTCCACAAAAGAGCTGGAAACGAGCGAGCCCGTCGCTGTAGGAATGATGTAGCGGCCAGGAAAGCTACGGTGAGGCGGGGATTTGACAGCCAAAGCTAAACCACACACAACTCTGGGCCCCTGGATCCACTTAAAATATTCCACATGTAGTGACATCTGTGTTACCGCTGCACTGATGGCCCAAACTGATCCTGCAGGCCACCATGAAAAACCCAAAATCAAACCAGATTTTAGAAACAGGAGACAGTGGAAGTCGGTCCTCTTTCCATCGTGCTATTGGCTGCATCGGGAGGAGGGAATAAGGAAGTCCCAAAACAGCAGTCGTGCTCTTGCAGATCAATGTGCAGGTGTGAGTGGTTTTCTAATTGGGCCTGTGAGGACCAAACCACACGTATGTGGGTTTACAGCTTTGGCCCCAACAGATGCAAAGACGTTCACCATCTACACGACAATAACTGAGTGATGATAACAACATTACTGAGTAGTAGCATCCACCTCAGTTACTGAGCCAGGGCTTGTGTATGTGTCTCAGTAATCAGCGGTGGCCACTCCCACATGTCTACGGCTAAAAACACTACTTTCTACTATAGGTTTGATGCTACACCCTTGCACCACGTTCTAGTCACTATCTGTGATTTTATGTAGGAGTGTTGAACAGAAACAAATGGGCTGATTGTCGTCCTAATCAGCCAGGTGATTTATTTTGGTTATATTGGACAAAGAAATACGGAAGAGGATTAAGGCCACTGAAGAAAAAAATAATAAAATTCTGAGAAAAAAGTCAGAATTCTGACTTTTTTTTTTCAGAAATTGAAAAAAAAAAATCTCCCGGAATTTTTTTTAAATTTTTAATTTTTTTATTTTTTTTATTTTTTTAATGTTCTGGGGAAAAAAGTCAGAATTCTGACTTTTTTCAGAGATTGGGGGAAAAAAATCCCGAAATTTTTTATTTTTTTTAACGTTCTGGGGAAAAAGTGAAAATTCTGACTTTAATCTCAGAATTCTGACTTTTTTCTCAGAATTTCTTTTTTTTTCTTCAGTGGCCCTCATCCTCTTCTGTAAAGAAAAGATTTGTGAATGACTTCAGTGAATATTTGCTATTTTTACTTTGTAAATGTTTTTTTTTGTTTGTTTGTTTTTAACTCTTATCACGATTATTCGCCTTTATGGAAACAGCACAGCACCATATGTCATATATACATATCTGCCTGTACCATACTACAATCTCATATATGTCTACATATACACAGCACAGTCATGGCTAGAAGTAGACGTAACTCAAAAATGTCTTCTGCACAGTATCATAAAAAGCTGAAGTGGAATTTGTTTTTTTTAGATCAGCATGTACAACCTTTTTGCCAACTCTGGAACAAACTGATGACTTTGTAGATAATTAACTATTTTACAAACATTTTTAATTTGCTTCCACACTTGTCTCCTGTGTGCTCGCTCTAAACACAGCCTGCAGTTCAGCCCAGTTCAGCTGAAACGTCTCAGAACGTTGAACCACGGATGGTTTCACACACGAGCTGATGATGGCTGGATTTTGTATTTTTTTTTACCAAGCAAATGGGTTTTTCTTTTGGCAATTTTAAAAAAGAGATACGTAGAAAAAAGTGATTTTGATAAAATTGCTTATTTTTTTTTGACAGAACCACATGTCACAGATTATTCATTCAAACCCATCGGCAGGTTTTGTGGATTTAAACATTCAGTGATTTACTTTAAAAAATGCTTCACAAAGTGTGATGATACCAAAGCATTTAAAGCTGTATTTATCCTCTTTTAGGTGATGAAAACGTACCACATGTACCACACTGAGAGCATCAGTGCAGAGAGCAAGCTCAAAGATGCTGAGAAGCAGGAGGAGAAGCAATTCAGCAAGTCCGGAGATCTCAACGTCAACCTCCTGCGCCACGAGGATCGCCAACCGAGACGCAGCACCGCCAGGAAAATCGAGAAGATGAAAGAGAAGGTAGGTTTGCCTCCAGTAAGAAGAGAGAAGTGTTGTGTGTTTACATACACATGGTTCAGTTTGGCTTCAGTTTGTGTGCTACATGAATCCTGTGAAGTGTTTAGGCTACGAAGACTCTTCATACAGCTTCTCACCAAAGTTAAATATTAGAAATTCTAGTTCTGTAAATGGAGAAGCAGCTTAGTTTGTTGGGTTTACTTGGAAAGTGTGAGCGAGCAGAGCCGGCAGACAGGCAGCAACACAATGCCAGAAACTCTCATGAGCAAACTGCAGGTCTGCAGCCAGAAACACAGAGCGAGCTGCAGCCCAGTAACCCGACTCCCTTTCCATCTTATGCAGATTTCTAGTTTGTGAAAAGTCTTCTCTGCCAGAAGTGTCAGGCTGGTGGTCTCTGGAGCATACTGTACTTCAGATGCTGCCATGCAATTTTTATTCTGGATTTTCTTCTGGAATTTCTTCATGCAAATGAAACTCCCATTATCTCTCAGGTGCAGGAAATCAAAAGGCTGTCAGCAGAGCAGCAGCGCTTCTCCCTCCTCAGGCTGGTGTTCTCAGAGATGCTGCTCGGCTTTGGAGCAGCAAACTATTTATAACGCAGCAGCGTAGCGATGAATATTCCACTGTGCCTTGGTCCTAAGCTTTTGTCTCATTACTCTGCCTGCAAACAGGTTAGAAACAGACGAGGAAGGAGGAAAACTTAATCTCTTTCCCTCTAACGCACTGCTGAAATTTGCATCATAATGGTTTTTGTGAAATTGGAAATAAAATGTCCATGTATAGTGAAATGTACAAACAAACATAATTGGTAGAAGTCTCTGCTTTAGAATTATAATGCTTTTGTTGCATTTTAAACTTGCTTCTGTGAGTTGTGTCTGAGTCATTGTGTTGCTAAAGTGGGTGAGGATGTCAACATTGTTATGCACTCATTTGTAAAATCAAAGTCTTGTGTTTTTCAGTGTGCCATCTTACTTTATCCGAGCTTTAGAACAAATGCATGTGTTTGTCAGACATTGGAAATTAAAGGCCGACAGCAAGAAGAACTTGTTTAGTTAATCCTCCGAGCTCCACACAGTTTCTGGTCATGTTCTGCTCCTGTCAGGTTTTTACTCACCGAAGGCTCATTTGCAGTCCAGAGTCCTGCACCTCGATGGGAACAGCACAGCCACGGCTAGAAGGAACCAGACTTGTTTCACAAAAATTCAGCTTGCACATCATTTTTTCACATCCCCACAGGTGTAACCACTGCCAGAGGAAAAAAGAAATGGTGGTTCTGCATGTCGATTGATTTTATCTGCCTCTTTGCGTTTAATGTAATTAATTAATGATGTTTTGTGAATTGACTTTATCTGTTTTCTCATAGTTTTGTGTGAAGCACTCGGGTACGGATTGTGCCGTACAGATGAACCTGCCATGCTGTAAATGTTTTACTACAGGACTTACATGTCCTGCAGTTCAATCCAGTTCAGCTGAAAGGTTCCTGGATTTCTGGTACATTACTGTTGGTAGCAGCTTGGTCACTGATGGCTGCCCAGTTGGCCCGAGGAGCGCAGAATGTTTTCTTATTCACAGACTCTGGCCAGAGAAAACTGGTTCATTTTTAAATGTGACTTGTAGAAGAGTGGGATCACAGTTTTAAGCTGATAGATGGAGTCATTTTAGTGATTAAAAAAGACAACATACGCTTTAAATCTGCTGCTGGATTTCGGGGTTCAGAGGGTTAAACTTGAATTATGATTAATGCCAATTTAATGTCTACAGGATGTAGCTGGTTAGCTTAGCTTAGCTTTAAGACTGCAGTCTATCCATGGATACAGGGGGGGACAATCAGCGTCATAGCATCATAACAAAATCACAACCAAATCTACTTTCCAGTCAGAAACATTTTATATGGATCAAACAAATGAGATCTAATGTGTTATTCAGGACGTGGGCAGTAATTTAGCGATTTTCCAGTCTTGATGCTAAGCTAAGCTAACCGCCTGCTGGCTTTAGCTGTATATTTACCATTCAGACATCTCATCGAACTTCAGGCAAGAAAGTGAAAACAAGAATTCCCAAGATGGAATATGAGCTGTTAAATATTTTATGTGCATGTGTTACTTGTGTGTGGTGTTTAAGTGTTTAGAGGCAGACTAATAAGGAAACGCGAGCCTGGCTGTGCCGCCGAACACACGACTGTCTAGAGGCAGCTTCTCTAGAGCCGCCGCTTCCTCCAAACTTTCCTGCCTGTGTGATGATCCCAAAGCTGCAGCTGCCTGAGCACACACTCAAACCCCCCCTGCTGCTTTATATTCCTGCACTGATGGTTTTTCCCTTCATCTCCTCTGTCTCTTCTCTCCTCCCCAGAGGCAAGCCAAGTACTCAGAGAATAAGCTGAAATGCACAAAGGCCCGGAATGACTATTTGTTGAACCTGGCAGCAACAAATGCAGTGGTGGCAAAATATTACATCCATGACGTCTCTGATATGATCGATGTGAGTATGCACGAGGCACATGTGTTTGTTTACATCTCTCAGCTGGGACTTGTGATGTTGATTTAACTCTGCAGCAGTGTCACTTTTCTCACCATCTGTTCCTGCGTCTCATTCACTCTCAGCCTGTTGGCTGTTTGTCTTCAAGCTGCTCTGTTGGCCCCAATAAATGTATTTGCCTTCATTTTTTCACTATTAACTTCTGCACAACAAACCTAACACTGATATGCTGCTAACTGGCTGCTGTTGACATGAAAACGAGTTCAGCAACACGGTTTTTGACTGATGACTCCATCAGCGTTGACAGAAGGATTTCTGCTCCATCCTCCTCCTCAGCCTTGTCCTCGTTCGTTTGTTTTTTGTCGATGCTGCTATTGGGAGCTTTGGTGGGACAAACACAGCATGTCCTGGTAACCGGCTGCCTTTAGCTGTCACCGAGGAGAAACATGAACCAGGACACATACGCACACAGCTCCTCTATTTTTTGGGGGGATCAGAATAGAGGACGCAGCCTTTCTGACACTGATCCAAGAAGCTGTAGGTTATTAAGAGTGAAAAATTGCCCTGCCCTTCAGACTGGAGGATAGCAGAACGTAGCTGTTTTTAATATCCTGAATGTCAAGCTCGTAGAAAAACTACAAGTCAGACATGAAGTCAAGTTACTCAGATTGTAAACCAGTGGCACTGCTGGAAATCAAGTCTGAGTGTTACCAGCGAGGATGACTTTGTTTAGCAAACGGCTAGTGGCTGGAAGTCGGCTGCAGTCAGCTGGTGAGCAGAGGCTCTGCTTATGCAGGCATGAATAAGGTTAATGTGGCTGGCAGTGCTCCCTCCGCAGTGGCTGACCTGCTACCAGTCATCTGCTGGAAACAGATGAAGATTAAGAAGATTAAGACTTTATTGACCTTTTTGAAGGCAACTCTCTGTGTCCATTCCTCTTGTATGCACACATGCATCCGTCTGTTCAACGAGGCGAGGCTTTGTGATGCACGGTTTGCATCTTGTTCTCATTTGACATTTCACTATCGGTTGTAAGTTCTTCCAGTTCCCCTGTTATTATAATATACACACACATGAGAAACCATCTTTGTTTAGTTATGTGCTGTATGTTATGTGCTCTATAGATGAGGTAACTGTGCAAGCAGGTTGGGTCTTTCCAAAACTGTATATTGTGTGTTATTAGTTAATGTGTTTGACAGTGTTATAGACTGTATAGAGCCCGACCTGTGCATTGGTTTCCCAATATTACCAGCTGATATTGGCCTTTCTGTTTCATTCTTTACTAACCTCAGCACTGATTGCAGCGCATGCAGCAGAGTGTATGTTACAGCTGAGCAGACGGTGTGTGAAGTGCATCGCTGCAAAATTATTAAACTTGGAATCAGCCCCAAACATCCAGCATAGGTGTAATATGTATTAAACTGTTTTGTTTTGTCGCTGACTGCTGATGAGTAAAATACAAGTCAGTGGATGTCATCTTAAACTTTGACATTCAGATCATATTTCTATCAGAGAATTGGTGCGTCTGTGTTTTTTTTCCTTCTCTCTGTGCTAATGACCCGGTTGTCACATTTTCGCTCGAGGCCCACCACCATACGGCACCACATTAGCCATGGTGGTAGAGGCACATTTTCCAGGTCAGCCATGATTTCAGTGACATTTATGCAACACAGCGAGCATGACTTGCACTTTTAAATGATTGCAGTTGAAACGCTACAGCGTGATTTAGTCCAATGCAGCTAAACCTGAGTCAGGCTATACGGTATAACGGTGATCCGACGGCGATAAATGGAGACACTGGGAGCCTGATTCATGGCTTTTCCTGCCTTTTTTTGCTGGGCTGCTTTTATAGATCCACTGTCTGGCACCTCAAAGGTCCATGTCATCCTAAATCCTGCTGAGCTGGAGGGAATGGGATTGTGAGCTTGACTGGGTTGTTTGCCACAAGCAGGCAAGAGAAAGAGAAGGCTTCGTTTGTAATGTCAGAACCACAGACCGTCGCACGTCAAACCAGAAGCAAGGGAGGTTTGTCAGTGACCTTAAAATGTTAACGCTGAATTCGGGGCAACATGATGAGTTTATTTACTACTTTTCTGAGAAATTACGTCCTCTGCGATGAGAGTGTTTGGTCATCAGGGAATCATCTGTAGAGAGAGGAAGTTTTACAGCAAGGACACAGTAAAAATGTATTTTTACTTTTTGTGGACTGTTGGGATTCTGTTGTGGGGCAACAGACAGTTAAACCAAGTCTTTAACCATGTCCGTGTCCATGTGGAGGTTTTTGTTTTATATGCTAGGAGACATAATATGACCACAATAAGCAGTCAGCGCCACTGCTGAGCATTTCCACCTTGAAAGAAAGAAGAAATACAGATTCAGAAATCTACCAACCTCAGTAACCAACCCTTATTTGTGAATGTATAGATATGCAAATATAATATAGTATGGGTATCGCTCTAATGAGAAAGATGAAAAGGAAAGAGGTCAACAGCACTTGGATTCAGTCTTTCTCAGTCCTCTGCTGCTGCTGCTGCTGCTGTATAAATGTGTTCTCAGTCTGTTTGCTTGTTTAAAAAGAAGCTAATTTACTCCCTTTAGTCTTTGGTCTACTGAGCCATTTTGACAGAGTGGTGCAATGAGGCTTGTGCACAAAGTGGGGAGACTGCTTCCTCAGTGCTAAAGAGCGCTAAAGAGCGTTTACTCAGTGATTTACAAAGCTGTCAGTTGCCTCAAGCTTCCCTCTGAACCTCCTCGCTGCTATCCTCTGCTTAATTAGGTTACTTCATACAGGCCTGTGTGATAAGGCTCTGTAATTATCCCCGGTGTCCTACTGCGCTAGCCCCTGTAATTCTGTAAACTCTGGTTCTATTTTTGAAGGGCAACCTGTAGCAGAACATAATTTGGTATCGAGTCCATTAAATAGGTCTGAACATGGTGAGAGGTGCTCAGACTAATAAACTGCACAGCTGAGTTTTGCGCATTCACCTTTTGATCATTCCCTTATTATACATTTATATTGATTTGTTGAATTAGTTCGAATCAGTTCTGTTTCCAAGCAGGTTTTCACACTCAAAGAATTCGATGTGGAAAGAGAAAGGACAAAAGACCAAGTGCTTCTGACTATTTGGTTGAATTATAAACAAAAAAAAATATTTACCTTTTATTACTTTTACATTAAAGAACAGCGAAGCACCAGCTGCGGTGATGTGGACGCCTGCTTCAGGGTGTGGTCCGTGCACTGCGGCATCGCTGCTGTCTGTGGGTTTTAGAGCACATTTGTGACCACATGCAAGATCGGATGTGAAACCCTGATATGAGCCGTGCGTTAGGTAACGTTTCAAGCCGGGCTCCTGTTCTAACGTGTGTGGTTGAAATGCTGCAATATTACAGCTGGAAACCGTGGAGCTTAGAATGTTTTTACCGTGTTTGAGCAGAGCTGGACGTGAGCTGGTGTGCTCGAGCTGCATTGGATTGGGGTTACATCGAGGCCATTTTAGGGCACCAACTGACTATTTGCATGGACAAAGAAGCTTGTAAACATGTCATTTTAAATTAACAGAGACAAGCTTTTAGGAATTTAATCAATGCCAGTAGAGGGACTTTAATCAGAGATACACGTATAGTTTTTTTTTCTATTTTGCTTTTCCAAATGCTGCTACAAGGTGCTTTTGAGGATATTGATCTGATGTTTTGTCTCCACAGTGCTGTGACCTGGGCTACCACGCTAGCCTGGCGCGCACCTTCAGGACCTACTTATCTGCAGAGTACAACTTGGAGACGTCGCGCCACGAGGGACTGGATATCATCGAGAACGCAGTGGACAACCTGGACTCCCGCAGTGACAAGCACAAGATCATGGATATGCATAACCAGGTGTTCTGTCCTCCGATGCGCTTTGAGTACCTGCCACACATGGGAGACGAGGTGAGATCCTCCGAAGGCCGCGACTTTCATCACATATTTGTTTCTCATGCCACCGACTAAAGAAAAAAATGTTGTCTGTATAAAGTAGCGCTCTGTTTTTATTTCATCCGTTCCAACTCATTTGCCCGCCGCCTCCTCCTCCTCCTCCTCCTCCTCCTCCTCAGGTGTGCCAGGTCAGCGCCCAGCAGCCGGTCCAGACTGAGCTCCTGATGCGCTACCACCAACTGCAGTCTCGCTTAGCGACACTAAAGATTGAAAATGAGGAGGTGAGGATTTATGATCTATGTCTGTCCGGCACCAGTAACCCCCCACCCCCTCATCTTCCCCACAGCCATCACACCACTGAAGGGCAAAACACCAAGAAGGAGGGCCACATCACCATCTGTTCTCTTTGCAATTACTCTCCGGTGACCCTTGCTCTGTGGGAGCTGAGAATATATTTAGATTGTCACAGTGCCAATGTTTTCTATGAAGTTATATATGAAATTGTCTGTTTAGTGATGGAGATGGGAGCCAAGGACACAAAGGTGCAAATGGAGGTGATAATAACCACGGCCTGATAGACCTGCAAGTGACAATAGCTCTGTCTCTCTGTGTCTCGTGTGCTGGAGGATAATGGATGAGTCCTGCCATTACTGGAAATGAGCTTTATCAATCTCAGGCCTAAACAAAAAGCCTCCTTCAGTCATGTTGTGAGCAGTTCATTTACCTTCCCTGGCTCTCTTCATTTTCATGTCTTGGTCTGATGTATATCTGAGCTGCAGGCTGCTTCGTTTATATTCTGTGTCATGTCGGTGCAGTCAGAGGTCATTTATTCTTCAGGGGTCAATTTGTTTTTAATGTACTCGTGCTTTAAATAACTCACTTGTGCTTCTGAAAATGTCATTGACTAGTTCAGTTTTTGACCGAACAAGTAGCATCGATCCACGCAGAACAGAAAATAAAGACGGAGTGAGACGATAAGCTTCGTCTGGTTTCCTTCCTGTGCAGGTGAGGAAGACCTTGGATGCCACCATGCAGACGCTGCAGGACATGCTGACAGTGGAGGACTTTGATGTGTCGGATGCCTTTCAGCACAGCCGCTCCACTGAATCCATTAAGTCTGTGGCCTCCGAATCCTACATGAGCAAGCTCAATATCGCCAAGAGGAGGTCGAACCAACAGGAGACAGAGATGTTCTACTTTTCAGTGAGTTCGGGCCGACTTGTCTTTCGGTCTACCGACCCGCTACGAACCTCAAACCATCAGTCTTCCACAAATTGCATTTCTGCTGATCTGAGCGACACTAAATTGTTTTGCTGGGATCGTGTTACACTGGCTTTGTGCTGCTCTTGACTCATGATTGCCTTTATTTGTCCGTCTAGAAATTCAAGGAGTACCTGAACGGCAGTAACCTCATCATTAAACTGCAGGCCAAGCATGACTTACTGAAGCAGACACTGGGTGAAGGTAGGAAGACCTCTTGATTTGTCTTAGGTGTGCACATGACTTGGTGTTATATCTTCTAATAATGACCTACAGAGTCGCCTCCGGGGTTATAGT